GCCTGTGGGAGGGAAGTGGAGAGTTACGTGGGGTTTAAAAGCAAAGGAGGGAAGGTTGGGTGTTCACGGCCTCTGTGACCTAGCTATAGAGTCGTGGTGGAGGTATCTGTGTAGGAAATGAGGAAACTGGGCTCAGCTCATGGAAACCTGTAAGGGGGTTAACAGAGAGAAACTGAGGCTGGAGACTGAACAGGCAGCAAACCAAAGATGTCCCTTTTGTGACGGGTATTGACTGTAAGCTTAACATTTAGGGTGAGTCTGTGGGGGACAGGAATGCTGGAGGATTCCATCTGATCTAGTTAAAGACGACCCTGCTCTTTCCAGGGGGGGTTGGGCTAGGTGACCTATGAAGGTCCCTTCCAACCCAAACTATTCTATGAATCTATGATTCTGTCTGTGAGGGACAAGTGGGTGGATGTGGTGGCTTCACCTGCGGAAGACAGGCAAGCTCCAGCTATGGGAGACTGAGTGGAGCTGGACACGTAGATGGAGTAGGTGGTGGTGTGGTGGTGTTGGGTATTCAGCTTGTAAAAGCCTGGCTATAAAGAGATGTGTTTGCATTATTAAGAGAACCAGGAGGAGTTGACACTGATGTTTGGGATCACATGTCTGAGTTAGAGATGCAGCTACTTGGAGACATTAGGGTGGTGGACTTGGCCAGGCTAACGGACTTGATGATCTTAAAGGTCTTTTCCAACCTAAATGAATCTAATGGGTGGGACTGGAAGGATGGAACTGGCAGGCTTGTGGGTCGAGATAAGAACAGGGAGAGATCACTCACCAGTTGCCATCACTGGCAAAACAGATTCAACTTGGGGAAATTAGTTTAATTTATTACCGATCAAGTCAGAGTAGGAAAATGAAAAGTAAACCCAAATCTTAAAAACACCTTCCCGTCACCCATTCCTTCTTCCCAGGCTTAACTTTACTCCAGATTTCTCTATCCCGTCCCCCTGGGTGGTGCAGGGGGATGAGGAATGGGGTCCTGCTCAGTTCATCACATGTTGTCTCTGCTGCTTCTTCCGTCTCAGGAGAGAACTGCTCAGGCTCTTCCCCGGCTCTGGTGTGGGGTCACTCCCATGGGAGACAGTGCTCCATGAACTTCTCCAATGTCAGTCTGTCCCATGGCTGCAGTTCTTCATGAACTCCTCCAGTGTGGGTCCCTTCCATGGGTGCAGTCCTTCAGGAACAGACTGCTCCAGCGTGGATTCCTTCCATGGAGTCACAGCTCCTGCCGCAAACCTGCTCCAGTGTGGGCTTCTCTCTCCATGGGCCACAGGTCCTGCCAGGAGTCTGCTCCATTATATACTGCTCATGGAGTCACAGCCTCCTTTGGGCATCCCCCTGCTCCAGCGTGGGCTTTCTCCATGGGCTGCATGTGCTCTACCATGGACCTCCATGTGCTGCAGGTGGATACATGCTCCACCATGGACCTCCATGGGCTGCAGGGGCACAGCCTGCCTCACCATGGTCTGCACCACAGGCTGCCGAGGAATGCTGTGTCCCGTGCATGG